AGAGACGGGGTTTCACCATGTTGACCAGGATGGTCTCGATCTCTTGACCCTCGTGATCCACCTGCCTCGGCCTCCCAAAGTGCTGGGATTACAGGCTTGAGCCACCGCGCCCGGCCGTTACCAGTATTTTTAATAAAACAGGAATGTTAATGATTCTTTGGGAACAGATAGAGATTTCAGAAATGTAAATGACTTCAGTTGTTTACATATAATGTATTCTGTCTGCTCATAGAAAAAGACTTTAATCTGCGTAGAGATTGTAAAGTGAAGAAACTGTCTGCTTTAGCCTTCTGAAAAGCAACATGTTTCTACCGCCGCAAATTGAATTTACTTAATGGTTATGCTCCTCCTATTGCAGGCTGTAGTGGACTCCATTTTGGCCATTAAAAAACAAGATGAGCCTGTTGATCTCTTCATGATTGAGATCATGGAGATGAAACATAAATCTGAAACTGATACAAGGTAGGTAGTAGAATACTATGAAATACTAATGGTCAGGTGTGGTGGCTCACACCTGTAATCCCAGCACTCTGGGAGGCTGAGGTGGGCGGATCACCTGAGGCCAGGAGTTAAAGACCAGTCTGGCCAACATGGGGAACCCCTGTCTCTGCTAAAATTAAAAGATTAGCTGCGCGTGTAATCCCAACTACTCGAGAGGCTGAGGCAGGAGAATGGCTTGAAACTGGGAGGTAGAGGTTGCAGTGAACTGAGACTACACCATTGCACTCCAGCCTGGGTGATAAGAATGAAACTCCATCTCAAAAAAAAAAAAAAAGTGTGTTTAGAAATTTAGGGGTGGTGGCTCATGCTTGTAATCCCAGCACTTTGTGGGGGGCTGAGGCAGGCATATCACAAGGTCAGGAGTTTGAGACCAGCCTGTCCAACACAGTGAAACCCCATCTCTACTAAAAATATGAAAATTAGCTGGGCGTGGTGGTGAGTGCCTGTAATCACAACTACTTGGGAGGCTGAGGCAGGAGAATCGCTTGAACCTGGGAGGTGGTTTGCAGTGAACCGAGATTGTGCCGCTGCACTGTGGCCTGGGTGACCAAGCTAGACTTCATCTCCAAAAACAAAAAATAAATTTTAGGGGTGCTTTGTACAATATATATTATTGGCAAATTTTTTAATGTCTTTGGATATAAAATATATATCTGAAGATATAACTTGGATAAATTGCTAGATGAATATTGTTTGTACTTTTAGCAATATTTTCTCCTGAAATAAGGTGAATGTTGTATTTATGGTTAGAATGATTCTGAAAAGTGAACATCATCAGTCATTGGGCGTTTATTGAATTACTAGGTGCAAAGCATAATGAGAAAAAGTTTGATTAAAAAAAGAAAAAAAATTTTTTTTTCCAAAGACCTAGTTAGAAAACAAATTTGTGTTTGTTTTTCTTTTCTTTTTGTGGAGAATGGAGTCTCTATTCTCCAGGCTGTTGCCCAAGCTGATTTTTGAATTCATGGAATCAAGATGTCCTCTCTGCCTCCCCAAGTGCCAGGATTACAGGCACTTGGCAGAAAACATGTTTTTAAAGGACATCACCACAGTTTGACAGCTTATATTGAGACTGTCTCTGCAGACTTGCCTATACAGCATACGATCTTCAAGTAATTCAAGAAATAAAGCTGAATGCATGAAAATTATTAATACTTTCTCAGTTCAGTGTTTAACATGTTATACATGTCTGGAAATCCATAACCATAATTTTGTGTACGTTTGAACAGCTTAATCAGAGGGCTTGTTTTGGACCACGGAGCACGGCATCCTGATATGAAGAAAAGGGTGGAAGATGCGTACATCCTCACATGTAACGTGTCATTAGAATATGAAAAAACGTAAGTTTATAGCCCCTTAACAGTGAAATGGAGGAGCTTCGTATTTTAAGTGAGTTACTTTTTTTTTTTT